GAGAGAGAGAAAGAGAGAGAGAGAGAGAGAGAGAGAGAAAGAGAGAGAGCTTGTTGTGTTTTTTTCCTGATGTATTATTAGAACAGGTCGTTATTTGATAAATGTGGTGCCAAGTTCCAATGTTTTTCGAATGTTTATCTAATTGCTACATGTTCTGATAATATTATGTTTGATACAAGAGCCCAGGAGATAGAACTAGAAACCATTCACACTAGAAACGCTTTTAGAAATGCCATAAAATCACCTTAATCAATGCCAGCAGCAGTATGTGATAATGATCCTGTACCATTTATGTGTCAGATTAAGATGAAATTGAAAACAACCCCCCCAACAAAAACAAAACAAAACAAGACACGCACAAAAAAACCAAACAAAACAAAACAAAAAAATAGAACAAAAATCCAACCTAAACCCCCCAACAAAAATAACCCGAACAATCCCAAACAACAAAACAAAAACAAACAAAAAACTAACAACACACAAACCAACAACCAACAAGCAGACACGAAGGAAGCAACCCAATTTTAAATGAGAACTTTTAAAGAGAAATCAAGAACTGAAAGCACAATTCTCTGTTGTTGTAAAAAATACTTTTCAAACTCTTGAAGAGGGTGGTTGGCAAGTGCTCTGGTGTAGTTTTCTGCTTTTCCCCCTTCAAACATCTATTGTACTATCCTCTTTTTTGTGTTTATTACTCCTCTTTTAACACCTGCAATCTTCGTTGATACTTTTATATAACGTAATTATTGTTGCAAGTGAAGTAAAACGTTTACTTTAAGAAAACTCTGAAAAACTACTGATTCTGAATAATTATGAGGAGAAATAAAAGTAGCTCTTGAAAAATTCAATAATTCTCTGGAGAAAAAAAATGAAATGAAAGAAGTTATGAGGAATAATTTCCCGATATAAATGGTCTGCCTAACTTTTTAGAATATTTTCTATAGAGACTACGGTCTTTCACAAACACAATCCATTTGAAAAGATTGTGAGGCGAGTGCTCTGGTGTGGTTTGCCTTTTCATTCCTATCAAACATATATCGTCCTTTTCTCTCCTGCTTCTTTTCTTTGTATGCTGTTCTCCAGTAACGCCTCTAATCTTCGACATTTATTGAACCTGTTTGCCGAGGACTAAAACTAAACTAAAACTATTCAAGCACAATTGAAAAGATATGAATGCATTTCTTTAAAGTCAAGGAAGAGAGTGGTTGGCAGGTACCCTTATGTGGTTTGCTTCTTCTTTCCCATCAAGCATCTGTCGTCCTTCTTTCCTCCTTCATTTGTGTGTTTGTCCCTCTCCAGTAACACCTTAAATCTTCGGCATTTAAATAACCTGTCTGTGTTGCAAGAGCCCTAAAACTATAACTAAAACTTAACTAAAGGT